CTGACCCATGATCAGCTCGTGACGCGGGTTCCCTGTGACTGTGTTCCATATAACGCGGGAGACTTAACCCGCGTGGGGTGAACTGTGACTTTGAGTGTTTGTGGAACGGATACTGCAGGTCGGCTGCATGTGTGGGAGATTTGACTGTCTGTTCAACGGCTCGTACCTCGAGAATAAAAGCTTTAGTTCTCAGATCCGCATTTTATTGTTTGTGTATTTAAACTGTAATCCACACCACCTCACGGCTATATATATATATTTCTATCTATATCTTTTACATTCTTAGATTTTCAGTTAAATAATAAAATGTTTTATGCCAATTACGGAAATTACAGTTCAAGGGAATAACACTTTGTGGGCGTATTACATAAGTTGTGCGCAGAAGAAACACGCATATGATTCTTTTCATAGGTGAAATGCATGTCTTTTAAATTTTTTTTTTAACAAAATGACATGTGATCATGTGCATTTAGGTTACAACAATGGTAAGAATTAGTGACACCAAGCCATCCACTTCATTGAGGGCTCTGAATGTTTATATAAACTTAAAAAAAAAAACAACAACAACGAAATACAAAGCTAAAATTTAAAAAAAAAAAAGTTTTATAAGCGCCGTACAAACGCATATTATTGCTTCCATGTCTTTACCCACATCGTAAACCCCCCCCCCCACCTCATGATCTGCTCTGTATCTCGTAGATCAAAGACCACTTTGAATTTTCATCGAGCTTCAGGCTACATGAAACCCACGGCCATAGATAAATACACACAGCTCAGCTGGAACAGCATTAGCGGTCATTTAAATCATTGATCCCGAAAACACTAACAACGCTCGTTACCTAGGCAACCGTCCAATTAATAAAATAAATAGATGCTCGTATGGTGCTATTTAATGAGGATTTAACAAATATAACACATGACGTATATATTTTTTCTTTGAGGGGGTGGGGGTGGGTTGACCTTTCCTGTAAAATTTAAATTACTTCCATTACAATTTTTAAAAATCATTCTGAATATTCAACATAAGCCAGTGATGTCCGGTGACACCGGGCGGTTACAGTTTAAAAATTTGCAAATGGTGGAAGTTTTATTTACGATTATCATCAAAAAATTATTTTTAAAAAAAAAATTGAACAGACAGAAACGTCCTATTTGTAAGAGAATGATCTCTTCAATAAAAATTTTAAATAAAACAAACAACTATCTCCTAAAATTGAAAATAAAATAAAATGATAAAATTTAAGAGAATCAGTATTATTCATTGTAATTTAGTTATATAATTAAACTAACTGTCACTCTAAAATTTTGTTGACTTTATATATCTTTGAAAGTCAGAACCAAACCCTTCCAGGGGAAATAATAGTAGTACCCCTCCCAGAGGAAATGACACTGGCGCTGATACATTAAGCCCGGTGTAAGAAGTCTACATCATGCAAAATTGGTCTGCCACCCAATGCCAGTAGATTACGTAGTCACCGTAGGTGGAGATGTTTTATTTGTCTAGCATGCCGATGTACACTGTCCAGGACTCTATAAACTTTTAGTTTGGTGAAAATATAAAGATCCACTTGCTCACATGGCTCGTTCGCAAATTACGTCACGCTCAGGGGGAGGGGTCGAGAATTTTTGACACTTTGTGACCCGGGGGGGGGGGGTTAAAAAAATTGTGACTCACACTTATTATTATTATTATTATTATTATTATTTTTTTTTTTTTTTTTATGTGACTCACACTTATTATTATTATTATTATTATTATTATTATTTTTTTTTTTTTTCATATAAAATTTGAAATATTGAAATATCTTTATTCCATTTTTATTAAAAACATTAATTTGAGGTGGAAATTGCCTCAGGTATTACAGATATCGTGAAACTCAGTCGCGCACACCTTCTGCGCAAAAACTGTTTCGGTCATTTTACATTCGGCTTGTGGATGACTTCGTTGTTTCAAGTCGCAGTTTTCTGATAATAATCTCAATCCTCTAAAGGAAGACGTTAGAGAATAAAATAAACTATTAGTTTAGTTATGAAAATTGTATGAATCTTTTGTTTATTTAGGTGTGACGTGACACTAAAGGGGGTGGGGGGGGGGTAAATCTCTCCCAGGCCTTCACTTTATTAATTTTTGCTGGCATCCGTCCAGTGAACATGGTGCAGACTTCACAAGACGAAATCTAAAAGGCCTGGGATTATTCTTTTAGGATTATAATCTGGCTTCCTACAGCAAATCGTCTCTCTCCATGCCGCTGGATAACCCAAGGGAACATCATGTGAATGATACAGCTTGGCATCAGTGGTGTTGCTGGAGATGTTTGAATGTTTCACTATTTCAATGTTATCCGCCTACGGTACTTCATCTCCAAGTTTAAATTCAGAGTTTCCTTCTCTTAGGTGAGTTGCCATCCAACGGCGAATGGTCTTAGCCACGCGCGGTGCTAGTGATGTTTTAGCTTCACTGGGCTTTGGTGAGGATAAAACTACAGACCATGAAGTTCAGTTTAGACCACTCGGCCACCAAGCACCACTTTAGTAAAAAAGTAAATTACAGAACGCACGTTAATCTGCAGTGACATTAGTTGTTTCAACTATTTTCAAAAAATAAATAATTACTCGATCGACTTGTTTTATATGGCACCTATATTTCATCTCCTTATGATAAGCAAAATGTCGAAAAATATTTATGAAAGGATATTGAGAACACTCTATGATACAACCCACATCTAAATGTTGGTGAAAGTATGTTAAGAACCCTCTATGATATAACCCACATCTAAATATTGGTGAAAGGATTTGAGAGCCCTCTATGATACAACCAGCATCTAAATTGTGGTGAAAGGATGTTGTGAACCCTCTATGATATAAGCCACATCTAAATGTTTGTGAAGGGAATTTCGGACCATTTGTGATATAATCCACATTTAAAGGTTTGTTAAACATTTAAAATATAAACATTAAAACTGTTGATTGTTTGTGGCCCATGAACAAGATTATGCTTGGTTTTATCCCACACAAGATTCTTCTCCTGCTATTGGCAGTGGGAGAATTTCATGCATTTGGTTTCCATGGCTAGGAGGTCACGGTTATTAATTATTAATTTATTTTGAGGTTACATTAAACTGACTGGCAAAGTCGGTAAAAACGTGATCCATCACTTGTAACTTTGAGATTACAAAGATCTATTAAATAGGAACTGGTCACGTTCACAAATGATTTGAAAAATGTTTTGGGCAAGAGGATTTTTGTGACCATGGTAACCATGGAAAAAAAACATGCTTTGGATCGTTTTAATGTCAAATTTGGTCAATCAGCTGGTAAAACTAAATCAACAAATCCTGGCCACCAATCTGATCCGTGACACGATTGTTTGACTTTCAAACGACTGGTTATCATATGAATAGTTCTCTTATCATTGTATTGTGTGGTGTTTTAGCATTCGCTCAAAATTTGCTTTTGTTGTTAAAAATTGTGCCGCATAAAATGGATTCTTTAATAATTTCAAGGGAGGACACTGTCTCTATATTTTTAACTGGATTGTCGCAAAGGTGATCTTAAATAAATGGGTTGTTTTTGTGTGTTTTTATTATATAAATCAGTTTTACGAATCAGTGAGAAGTTACACAATTTTCTCACGTTAAATAAAAATGTAGATCTAATTAATCTATTACATTTGGAAAAATTTTGAGAAAGAAGAAAATGTCCGATTTATAAAGATTTTATCAATGTTTTGATTGGTGTAGAAAAAAAAATTATGCTCGCTGCTTACTTGCACGAGATCTGTGCAGGTTCTAAACTATAAATAAATTATAATTATAAGGTTATTTTAAATGATATTAATTTTAATATTGACATATAAGTAAATTTAGCTTTTCTATTAAAATAATTATGTAATTTTTTTAATAACATGAATCCCTAGGTGAGCTCAGTCATATATTTTCCTCTGCATTTATAAAAAAGATTTCTTTTATATATACAACTTGCATCCATAGTTCAAATGATTATTTTACTGTTTCGTATTTTCAGGGAGCAGAACCAACTCTGGCAAGTTTCAGGTCTCGCTAAGGCCGACTGACATCATCCTAATTCAAGACTTTCTATCGAACAATAACGTCAAGGTATAGTCTCAAAGGCTTATATAATAAGAATTGTTGATACTTTTTGAAGTAATACAAAATATTTCACAGAACTCTCTAGCCGCGCTCAATTATTTTAAAATAGATTTATTTGCAGGAGCGCCACATATCCTTATCATATAAAAGCACAAAAAACGACCAAAACAAGAAATACAAAGAAATTACGGTGCCTTAAAGCGATTCTTGATGCTAGTTAAAAACATGGGCAAAAACAAAATACACTGGTGTCATTAGAAGTTTTTGCTTATTGAGTTAGGGAAAAAATAATAATCAATTTTATGTATCAAAATAATTATTTATATTTTTTATTTTATTATTATATTAAAAAAAAAAAATATCGTTATTGAAAAAAACAGGTGGACAAAAATTAATTTTTTAAATATAAATTTTTGCAATTTTGTCCTAAACTTTCCCCTTAAAACAACCCAAAAAAATGGATTTTTGAAAATAAATTTCCATTTAAAAAAAAAAAAAAAAAAAAAAAAAAAAAAAATCGAATTAATTTACTTTAGCACAGTTTACTGTGGAAAAATTGCCTGTCACACAACGATCATGTAAACAAATAATTTTCGATCGAATTTTGGAATGCCTTTAGAAAAAATGTTGACTAAATTATTATATTCCATATTTCCTTACAGAAAGATTTCGGTGATGAGTTACTGCCAATGCAGCGTCCTTAGGGCGTCTTTGCTTTCCTCTAATCAGACCATGACGTCGAATCTCAGCGTCCTGACGGTGTCAGCACTGGTTCTAGCTGTTATCTCCATTTTGACAATTGTATTTAACATAATGACAATCTTCGCTGTTTCAAGATCATGGTTCAAGGCGCACAATAAGATTTTTTCAAACGACAACATCACACCTCAGATACTAATGGTATCCATGGCCGCTATTGGGTCACTTTATGGCATTTTAGTCATGCCAGTGGGAGTCATAGAGGTGATTTATAACGGAGAGTGGCCGTTAAGGGAAGGACTATGTCGTGCACGCCATATTTGCAATCAATTCCTTGGTACAACCTTCATGATACACATCTTTTTTCTGTCTATTGACCGGTACATTGCCATATGCAAGCCTCTCAAGTACAGAGTGTTGACGTATAAGACAGGTTTGGTTATGACTGCCGTCTCCTGGTTACTGTCGAGCCTAACAGCAGCAGCAACACAAATTGTAACAGAAACTCATTCAGGTGTAATAGCTCCACTTTATAACACTTCGTCATTGGTTAAACCTGAATATAATATCTTCACAAACAAAATATTTATCCTTACCAGCTATTTCATATTGTATTCTCCGTTCATTGTTTCTTATTTTCTCTACGGGTTCATACTTTTTGAAGTTTACAGATATCACAAAAGGACACAGAGACGTTTACAAGCTCAAAAATTTGAAAGCAACCAATCACCTGGTAAAGATTACACATCTAAACAGAATAAAGCAGTTGAAATTCGCAATCCTGGTTCCCAGAAACTTGCATTTTGTCCGGGAGATGGTGCGTCTTGTATCTCAGTAGCACACGATCCTCCTGCAGCAACCGAGGATAAGAAACAAGAATCTGCTCAAATTGTTGCGCACCGACGCTCAAACATTTTTAAGGCCCTTCGCACCGTCGGTTTCATTATGATTTGCTACACGCTATGCTGGTTGCCGGCGTGGATTTACTTGACTTGGTTATTTGAACAGGGTTTAAGCTTTCCACTGTGGTCTGAGATTCTGGTGCTGTGGATCACGTACAGCAACTCTGCGTTAAATCCAATCATCTACTGCACGTACAAGCCGGTTAGCAAAGCTGTTAAGTCGCTTTTCGAGACTTAATGAAAAACAAAGCTAAAAAATGCATGGGAAAACTTGAATTCAAAATGACACCATACATCAACGAAAGTATTGGCAAAAAATATTCTTGTTTTTGAAAAAAGCAACAGTAAAAATAATACATTGTCAAGTTTAACGTATAGTTTTGATTTATTTTTAGCATCCTTTTTTTCAGGTTTTCCTTTTTTGTTTGTTTCACTAACATTATACGACCCCTGATATTACACTGCATTCAATAAGGAAAGCTCTCTCTCTATCTGTCTCTCTCTCTATCTGTCTCTCTCTCTCTGTCTGTTTCTCTCTCTCTCTCTCTCTCTCTCTCTCTCTATCTGTCTCTCTCTCTATCTGTCTCTCTCTCTATCTGTCTCTCTCTCTCTCTGTCTTTCTCTCTATCTGTCTCTCTCTGTCTCTCTCTCTATCTGTCTCTCTCTCTCTATCTGTCTCTCTCTGTCTCTCTCTCTATCTGTATCTCTATCTATCTCTCTCTCTATCTGTCTCTCTATCTGTCTCTCTCTGTCTCTCTCTCTATCTGTCTCTCTCTCTCTCTCTCTATCTCTCTCTATATCTCTCTATCTGTCTCTCTCTCTATCTCTCTCTCTATCTCTCTCTCTCTATCTCTCTCTCTCTCTCTCTATGTATGTATGTGTGTCTCGCTCTGTGTGTTTCTCCTTGTGTGTTTCTCTCTCTGTCTCTTTCTGTCTCTCTCTCTCTCTCTCTCTCTCTCTCTCTCTATGTCTGTCTCTCTGTCTCTCTTTCTCTCTCTTTAACCCGGGTTGGGGATTTTTTCCCGATCACAACTTTTATTGTATATTCAAAATGTCTTAACGTTGCGTAATTGGAGTTAAAATGGGGTAGAGGCAATCGCTTTATTCACGCCCCGGTTTAATCGAAATATCATACGTTAAATTTTTCATAAAAATCACATTTATTCTCAGAGGCACACTAAGATTGTCAATGCCTAACAATATTCATATTGTGAGAAGGTAAGTGTACACATTTAAGGAATTCACATACATTGAAATACTTAAATCGTCCTCTACTTTAGAATAGAATTGGTGATTTATTTAATTCCTATGTAACCATTGCTAACCAAATTATATTTTAAAAAAAGAATTGGATGCTGTAAAAAAGTTTGTTGCGTGTCCAGCATTGCCTATTTAAACAAACAGACACTTTATATATGTCCGGCAATTCCAATTTAAACACTATTTAATGTATATCGGAAATTGAAATAAAATAGATTTACTGCATGTCATACGTGGAATCAAATTTTAAATTTTACGCACAATATGACAGGCTTCACCCATTCAAACACAATTTAAATTATTTCAGGCATTGTCTGTTTAATTGTCTTAGTGAGGGGGAACCTTCATTTGATTTAGTTGGTTTAAAGAAAACGTCCTGGCTGATAGACCATCAGAGAACAGGACACAAAATAAGGACGTTTTATGCCGAAACTTCCTTATTTTTTGTCCTGTTCTCTAATTCAAGCTTCCACATATCTCGTTTTGCTATTTCATTCATTTAGTAAGCTTGAATACAGTCCTTTAATTTATATTTTCCCATAGACCATCATTGGTTAATGGCCACTGATAGCTCCTTCGATTGTGATTTTTGGTCTTCGATATAATGGTGGGAGAGAACATGCATTTTAGTTTGTTCAACATGTTATTGTAATGTGACATACCACGTCTGTCACTGTCAGCATGGATGGTTCATCCAACGCAACATGCATTAGCGTCATGCAAGTTGTTTCGTATCGCCATTTAAAACTTTACACACCAGTGTTTGTCAAACTCTAATCATGCAAAGACATGGGAGGAGATGACATTATTGTATTTGAATACTGGTACATTTTTATAAACAAATACATTTCAATTGTTCTAGTATAAGAGGAAAAAAAAGAGATTCTTTTATAACAGATGAAAAAAAATGTAGATTGTTGATGTAGTAGATAAATAAATGTAGATTGTTAATGTAGTAAATGAATAAATGTAGATTGTTGATGTAGTAGATGAATAAATGTAGATTGTTAATGAAGTAGATGAAAAAATGTAGATTGTTGATGTAGTAGATGAATAAATGTAGATTGTTGATGTAGTAGATGAATAAATGTAGAGTGTTGATTTAGTAGATGAATAAATGTAGATTGTTGATGTAGTAGATGAATAAATGTAGAGTGTTGATTTAGTAGATGACTAAATGTAGATTGTTGTTGTAGTGGATGAATAAATGTAGATTGTTGATGTAGTAGATGAATAAAAGTGGATTGTTGATTTAGTAGATGAATAAATGTAGATTGATGTTGAAGTAGATGAATAAATGTATCTGCTATAGGGACCATATCTCCAATGATACAGTGAAAGAAAGAGTTCACCAGGCAATTGGGGAGTACGATCACCTACTGGTGACTGTGAAAAACGTAAACTACAATGGTAGGCCACGTAACAAGGAAACAAGGGCTTGCCAAAGAAATATTGCAGGGCACCACAAGAGGAGGGAGAAGAAGAGGAAGACAAAGAAAAAGATGGGAGGATAACATCAAAGAGTGGACAGGAATAACACTGTGCGATGCTGTGCGTAGTGCACAAGACAGAGACGAATGGAGGAGCATATTTCACATGTCATCTGTGGCGCACCAAAAGTCCAAGGACTAAGGGACATGATGATGATGATGAAGTTAAAAATAGATTAGTACTAATTGATTGAGATACTTTATTTTCATAGCTAATTTACAAAATAGCTCAAAAGAACACCTTTGAGTTGAGCTGCTTCTCTATTGGGGTTCTATGCAGGGTTTCGTTTTCATGCCGAACATTCTTCTCTGTTGTTTTTTGCCTCAGGTCCATGTGGGTCTTCTGCTGCATCTTTCCTTGTGCTACCCATTAGTTGCTTTCACTTGAAAAGTATTTTGTGTCATTCTACATATTTGACAAGGATATATCTATTGACGTTTCTGTGTCATTCTACATATTTGACAAGGATATATCTATTGACGTTTCTGTGCCATTCTACATATTTGACAAGGATATTATATCTATTGACGTTTCTGTGTCATTCTACATATTTGACAAGGATATTATATCTATTGACGTTTCTGTGTCATTCTACATATTTGACCAGGATATATCTATTGACGTTTCTGTGTCATTCTACATATTTGACCAGGATATATCTATTGACGTTTCTGTGTCATTCTACATATTTGACCAGGATATATCTATTGACGTTTCTGTGTCATTTCTGAACTAGTTTTAAGATGTGTGCATCAGTTCTTAACTTGCTTAAATATTCATTCGATCCAATGGAGGCATTTAAACTGAGAAACGTACAGTTTTCTTTTGCTTTAGTCAATTAACTTCATTCACGCTTGTCCATTTCAAGACTATTGTTATAGCCTGTGTGTTGACCTAGTTTGATTTTCTTACCACGAGCCGTGGTATTGAAGCTTTTCCCCTCCTTTTTATATTGAAGTCATCGATTGGATGTGTAGTTGTTATATAAGCGTCCCATTTTACTTCCATTCCGCTGACCCCAATACGGCTGAACTGCGCTACGAGGGTATGTCTTGCTAAATATAGTTTCCCCTTCACCTCGGTTACCACTAATTAATCTATAGCCTGTTCATTATAAGAATTCCGTAGAAAATTGTAAAAGCTGCTGGAGCATTTGCGATGCGTATTCTGTTCCCGAAAAATCTAAAAAAACAGCGATGAAAAGACGAAAGATTGATAGATGGTAGATGCCACACGAGAGATTTGTGAGGATGTCTTATTCTTGCGATAAAGTTTTGTTTACTGCATATGTGTACTGATTTACTGATTCTTTTTCGTCATTGTACCTTTTTGCACATTGTGTTTGTCTTCAACGTTGTACTGGTACAAGTAAAACAGTATTCTGTGGGTCAAAACTTTTAATTGTATTTCTTTTGATTTTGCAATTCATTATAATTAACTTGCTACAATTTATTTATTGTAATTAGATCTATTTTGAGAATCGTATTTTTTGTAATTGTATTTATCATATTGTTTCGTCTTTTGTTGCGTACTGTTTTAGAATTAAATAAGAGATTATTTTTTCCATAATTAAAACAGTACGTAACAGTAGCACTCTTCCATACGCCACCCCACCTTTGACTTGGAAACGGTTGATGGAGTTATAATTTGCTTCAAATGGAAGGTAGAGAATAAACCTGGTTGTGCAGATTCTTACATTTCTTTTTCTGGATGGTTCTTACTCCCTCCCTATAAATTCTTCAAGGGAAGTTAAATGCTAAATCATTCTAATTAAACCCATATATACATATAGTCCACCAGGTTTTTTCACACAGAGAAGTACAAGTATATTTGATAACATGAAAGAAAAGTAGCATAATTGTGTGTGTAATTCCATATTTGTATTTTTGAGTTGTGTACCAGTTCATGAATTTTTTGTTCTTTTATTCTAATTTCTATATTTCTTTTAGAAATGTATTTGTGAAAATAAATTTAATTCGTTAGAATCATTAGCTTTGGAATTTTAATTATATTTTGTAGCATACTATTTCGGTCAGCAAATATGTTTGTACAAAAACTGATTTACAAACAATAGCTCATTAGACAATCATTGTAGTAAGCATACATGTCTGCTTGATATTTAGGGCATTTAATATTACATATCAATACAAAGAAAAAGTGCTTCTGAATGGAAGGAAACAAATGAGATGATTGTATCCCGGTGCTGCAAACATCAAGACGAGCCGTCTATTCGAATTCAGAAATGTGCAGTGATTGAAAAGTTTACTTATTTTGAAACCTCTTTGTTATAACGTTATATGAAAAAAAAAGTTTTTAATTCAGATCGAAAACATTTCAACCATTTTCTTGAGGTCAACAAATGTGTTAGGAAAATATCAAGGAATGATAATCTAAATCACAATTTAATTTGGAATTATGATGTTAGAAATAGTATAATTTAATTTAATCTATGCTCCCTGATACACGTGTATTACGTCACATAACTTGTAAAACAGAAGACCATCAGGCAAGAGATACTGCTAAATCATTGACTTGCAAACATTGACTGGGCATGTTGACATTAAGTTTTAACAAGGAAAACATTGGCTGGACGTGTTTACATTAAGATTCAACAAGGCAAACACAGCTAAGCGAGTTACATAAACTATAGGCTAACAAAGCCCCGTTTAAAACAGATCGGTGAAATGTTTACATAGGGGCAGATGTACCTGAAATGTTTTAGTGCAATCAATCAATGCACTCATCCAATGGACTGATGGGCTTTAATGGCACGACATTCACTAAGGGGTAATTAACAGTAAGTGGTAGCTGTTTGATTGGATCTCGATGTGTCCGGGAAGAAGAGCTGCGAAGAACTTTAAATACACAAGGAAGAAAGTGTTTATGGGTCGATCTCGAATTATTAATTTCTTTCTTGCCGTGAGTAAGCATAAATTACCACAACGTTAAGTCTGCGAATAAATGAATTTAGACTTATTTTGGGTAATTTGGGATTATGTGAGGCATCGCTCATTTAGAAAAGTTAAATTTGTGATTATTTTAGGTAAGACTTGGGTAGAAAAGCTAAAGATGTGTTTTGAAATGTGCAAGACTTGTTAAATAATTTAGAATTGATTGTGATTATATTATGCAAGACTTACTTAGAGAAATAAGGATTAGCATTGTATAATACAAGACTAAGTAAGAGAGATTATAGTTGTGATTTTATGATACAAGACTAAGTAAGAGAGATGATAGTTGTGATTTTATGATATAAGACTAAGTTAGAAGAGTTAAAATTGTGATTGTGTGATTCAAGATAACTTTAAAGGATTTAGAATGATTATATGATTGCTAGACAAAGTTAGGGAAGCTAGACATGTGAGTTGGAGACTAAGTAACAGGCAGGCGAATAATGCTTATGTGGTGTCACACTGGTTAGAGAAATTATAATCGTGATTGTATAATGCAAGACTATGTAACAGACATTAGACTAATGCTTTTGTGGTTTAAGGCTCGTTAGAGTTGTGAATATCTGAGGATAGACAAAACAAAATATTTGGTCGAGATCGTCAAATATGAAATAATATTTCTAATTAGCTTGGAAATTCATTTTAAAAAAAATTAATAGTCACAAATATTTATTTAAATATTTTATACTTTAATAATTTATTTTTAAATTTAGTTGACCCAAATACTGTACGAGACTTATCCTAAGTAAGCACCTCGCCTGGATCTGTACAACATCATTTACTACTGTTTATATTCTACGCCTTTGTTTGAAATTGTTTTCTAATTTTAATACGCAGAGAAACGCAGACAGAGAGTAAGGGAGACAGGGAAACAGATTAATGAACAATACTGTATCTTGTTTGCGCATAATTGTACCGCTTGCAACGTCATTGTTAAAGTGAACGTTGATGAAATTCGACCTGGTTAGGCTCGGCAACAATCCGTAGTTAAAAAAATTGATTATTCTGGGCAGCCGCTGTGTGTTTGCAGTCTGGCAGTGCGAAGAATTTACGAACAGCTTGTGGGAACAACAACAAATATCGGAGATTTTTGTTTGGCATATCTTTTATGGTTCTGCTACCATTAATCAGATGGTGTATTAAGCGGTGGAAGTGCTCAGATGTGGTTTGTACCGTTTATTTTGCATTATAAATTTGTGTGTAGAAGTTTCGGTGTTTTCCTATAATCAAAGTTGAAGGTTTCTCTGTAAGTCGAATTATTTAAAACCAGCGCTATTAGGAGGATGCAAACTAATTAATAATAAAATTTTAATGTGAAGCCAGAGGCGTACTGATGCTGTGGTAAACACGGTGGATGCCGTAGCCGCATGTTGAAGAATGGCGCAAAGTTGGAAAGCCGGAGAAATATCTTTTAGGCAAAAAATGTTTTTATTTTTAGAGAAAAATGAACATTATTCAAACAGATATCTGGGAGAATACTGATGAGGGTGTGATTTACATGTGTCTTTGACACCTAAATTATACAGAAATAGTTTTGTCAAGTTTAAAAGGGGTGCAAATTTAGTTCTTGCGATGAGCGCCTAATGTTCTCGGTATGCTTCTATGATAAACTTTTCACCCGGAAAACTAAAGGATAGAAAAAATGGGGGAGAAAATCAGATTGCTTTGATCATAAAGGTCTCAATTACAATGAAAAGAAGAGATATTAATTACTTATTTTCTATCTTTTAAGTCCACTTGTGCAATGGCTACACACATTACTTTGCACCTGGAAGTATTAGTTGCATTATCGGTTGCCTCCCTTGTGATGGCTCTTTTTACTGTATTCTCAAACGGGATTGTCTTCCTTGCCATTATACGGCCTAGCAGCAAGAACAGAACCGCTCACAATTCCTATATGACATTTATGTTTATGAGCTCCATGGCAGTCTCTGACAGCATTCTTGGAGCGCTAGTTATGCCCTTGTCAGTTGTACCAATAATACAGAACGGACAATGGAACCTCGGGAACGACATGTGCAGTGCATATTTTGCCTTAACACACATTGTGTGTTCCGTGAACGCTTGTCACATTCTGTGCATGGCCGTCGACAAATACATCGCGGTGTGTAGACCTTTGCAGTACAGGTTGATGAAAAAATTAACTGCGCAAGTTATGATCTGCGCATCCTGGATTTTTCCAATATCTGTAACGCTCTTACCAAAAATAAATGGATTTGACAAGATGGGTTTGGATTTGGCCGAAAAGTGGATGGAGGAGAGCCACGTTTGTATTAACGTTTTCAACAGAGATGTATTCGTCTCATATTTAATCATATCGTTCTACGGTCCCATAATCGTGACCTATTTTCTATACGCGCGAATATTTACAGAAATCTGCAGTTTTAACAATCGGTCACCACAATATCATCTCGAAAATCCTTCAGCACCTCCAAATTCAAAGAAAAATTTGACATCTGTCGACGTCATAAGCATCACAGTTTTATCCGAGATGACAGCGGGTTATGTTGCAGAGCCCGATTCGAGACAATCTAATTACACGATCGACTCAGACACCAACTTATCCAAGAACAAAAGAACGAAAGTAAAAAATGGTGAGCACACTTCAACCGATTCTGGGGAATCCACGATACCACGCCATATCTCCCGACACATGAGGGCCATTCGAACCATTGGATGCATCGTTGCGGCCTTCACCGTCTGTTGGATTCCCACGTCGCTGTATCTGGTCACCATCCAATACACGGGATTTGAACAACCGAAATGGTCTGTTTTACTCTGCTTTTGGTTTTCATTCCTGAACTCGACCATCAACCCATTTCTGTGTTGTTCTATGAAATCAGTGAGAGTTAAAGTGAGAAACTTGACAGGTCTGTAGGCCTAATGGAATGTCGTTACTTTGGAGATGTATTTAACATAAAGCTGAATAGTCTATACTTAAATTTTCTTTCATTAAAAAAAATTAGGCAAGGTAATTTGTTGTTTAAAAAAAATATGTTGCAAATGAATTCAATAAAATGCATAGTACAGTAATGTACCTTTAAACTAATAATAATTTCTGCTCACAAAATTAAAACATCACATCTTTTGTGAACGTTTACAATATTACGTTGGGAAATAAACACTACTTTCTAAACAATCACGAAAAAATCCTTTTTTTTTTATCCATGTGCTTGGCTTACCATGCTGTATTTTTTTTTAAAATAACAAGCAGTCTATGTGAACTGGCTATGTCAATAATCTAATCTTAATAAACAGCTGTTGTAGACCATACATAAATTATGTGCATGCAGCCTATCCAGGTACTGAAAACCAAACATCTGAGTGTGTCATTTATGTTCATTCAACACATGTGAACTATTTATTATTTAATTTCATGAAAGTTTGATGATCTATAACTTTTGTCTTCGATTTCTTGTGCAAACTATTGTCTGTTGCTGATGATAAGATATCAATTCTGATCCATGATAGAATTTAAATATCAATATAAATGAAAAGCTTAAGACCAACACATTGGTTTTATTAAACAATTTTAACACACCCTATCGGAGTTGTACATTGGACTCAACCGGGGTCACCTTTGCTCATGACCGGTTATGTGGACTGTGTGAGAGTGGTTACTGTGTGTCCCCGACACCGGCATGCTAAAACAGCCTGAGAACTTGCTATTTAGTATTGTGTACATAATATATTATCGCTTTATTGTTTTTGAATAAAACTATAATGTAAGTATTAGTTTAATTCCAAGGAAGGCACTTTCTAGAAATCTTCTTTGACATGCTTAATGATTAAAAGAAAATGGAAATAAAATTGTCTTCAAAAACAAACTCTTAAGCGTATAAAATGCATGTCCGCATGTGTACAAATCTTGGATTAAAATAATTCGATCATATCCGACGGTGTGTGTAACTTCTCCCTGGTTTGTTGACAAAATATAAATATGCCATTTAGCTGAACGCTTATAACGATGTTGGAAATTGTGTAAAATAATAAACATACACAATTAGAAGGCTAGTTTGATCGTTGTATTGTATGATTAATTCATAGGATAGTGCCGTTATATTCCCCGCGATCGAAATTCGTTAAAGTGAAGACAAATGTGTGGACGATGTGTTGCAAAGAAACAAACGTAATAATTGTACTTATAATTTTAAATAAAATGATTTTAAATACATTTTTTTTTATAAGGGACCAAAAATTTGAAGACAATTTCTTTTTTTTTTTTGGATAGGGGTGGGAATATTAAATCGGATAATGATATTTAAGACTAATAATAGGTGTCATAGTATTTCGCAAGTATATCGCCCAACAGCAAATTAATAATTGGTTTTGCTATCTGGTCAGAATACCTGTCAGTTAACCAGCAGTGCAAGCCTAAATGAGCGGGCCCTCCGTCAAGCTTTCCAGACCAGAGAAAGATCCCCGGGCAATGAACAGACAACTGGGTTAAGAACCCTATCGGAGTCCACAAAAAATTAACCTACAACGGCTCTCACACCTTGCAGCAGATGGTCATCTTTACCTCCTCGACGCGTCCAGTGCAGATGCAGTAATGAAAAAGAAAAACGACGGAATAAATAACCAGCGTTATCTGTGCGTTCAGACTGATTCATTTGAACAGACGTCTCAAGGTAGTGCAAAAGATCCACAGCTTCAAGTTCATTGATAAAATAATCGTTTTTTTAAAAAGTAATGTAAAGTTTTAGATTGTGTTTAGCCGATTAAAAATTGTAAGGACTAGTTTTCTTTATTTTTTTCTTTTTATTTTTTTTTCGGTACACTCGGCTTTGGATCTGGCGCAAGGGGGGGGGGAGTGGAGGTCGGGGAAATAATTGAGGTCATCACCAACATTCATTAAAAAGTAATGTAAAGTTTTAGATTTTGTTTAGCCGATTAAAAATTGTAAGGACTAGTTTTCTTTATTTTTTTCTTTTTATTTTTTTTTCGGTACACTCGGCTTTGGATCTGGCGCAAGGGGGGGGGGAGTGGAGGTCGGTGAAATAATTGAGGTAATCACCAACAATCACTGAGTCCGATTTGAGCTTGCGGCCTGTTCATTACAAGCTGTGTAGCACAGAACATAAACAATCTGAGTGTATTTACGTTTAATACATTGAAAATTGTGGATTAACATAAAAAAAAATTAAGCGAAACGTGAAGATAAAGAGGAGCACAAGAAAATTATTGAGATTTGTTATAAAGCTAATAGAACATATCAACAACAAAAGCACGACTGTCCTCATCGCTAGTCAGACGAAAGTAAGAATTTGGAGTTTCATGATTTTCATATACCATTCATCATGATTAACGCGTTTAGGCATGGCAGAGTTTCTCTTAACACTAGAAGCCAGAATGTGTTATCGCATTACGTGGACGGCATATGACGTCTAACACATTCTAAACTACTGATATTGAAGGGTTTTTGGCTGCGGTAATGACAGAATTAGGATGAATTTTAAGAATTGTAATCTAATTCTACTGAAAAGATTAAGGCTTCACACGTACCGTTAAAGGTAATGACGTATAGGATACGTGAGTTTTATGCTGTCAGTGACGCATACCCCTTTACACATTTGCTAAATTTTAATAATTTTCAATCAGATTTTGCCCAAGCAGATTTGGCCTTATCAGATTTTGAATAGCAGATTTTGAAACGTTCCTAGTGGTGTCAAATGTCAATATTGTATCATCCATGTTAGTGTCACTTGTGATGGCATTTATTTGTGGATATTTTCATCAGGGAATCCAACATGTACATACATGTCGTAGAGATTATATATATATAATCAGAAGCTGACGGAGAACGACTTTCTCTAAAATCTTTGATACAAATGATAGATTGGGGACGGGGCGATAATTTTCAAACACATTTGGGTCGAGATTTACCTTCTTTAGCAATGGAGTAACAACCGCCTCTGTAATAGAGGATTGAACAATGCCATATTTTAACGACAGATATATGATATAAGTTATAATAGTGACTATTTCATCTAAACATTCATACAACATCCTTGCAGAAAGAGGGTCAAACAAACATGACTTATCGGGGAGTCATCTAGGATTTTCTTAACATCTGGTTCATTGACCTCCAAGAACTCGCTCATAGGAGTGCCGTTAATCGGCAAGATATCGGGAGCATCGGTCCCAATGTCAACTCTCACCCTGATCTTCTTAGCTTTCGTTATAAAGAACTCATTGAAAATGTTTGGCAGCTCGCCCATGGCAATATTATTTGGCAAAGATGTGTCCTTCTATTTACTGGTTAGCTGACCCACAAGACGAAATAAGTACCTACCAGAGCCACACTCTACAATATGGTGACTGACATATGCAGTTCTAGTTGCTAGTAGCAACTTTTTTGTTCGTTCCTTGTGATTAATAAAGATATGTCGGTGCGCGGTCAAGCCAGACTTCCCCCATTTGCGTTCTGCACGTCGCTGCTTTTGCTTCGCGTCCTTTATTTCGGGCGTGAGCCATGGCGCGGCAGGGCGGTCCATAACTCACCGTGTGGGAAATGGTGCATGTTTGTCTAAAATAACTCTGAGGCCACTGTTGTAGTCTATCGCAAGGTCTTCTTCACTGCACACAAGGGCAACGACGTCACATCTGAAGGCCACCAGATCTATCTTTTGGAGGTCACGGGATGTGACTGTGCGAAGAAGACGTACTGGCTTAGTCAAGTCAAACTCGATGGTGACTGGGAAGTGATCAGAGATCAGTTTGTCCTTAATAATGAGATTGGCGATCATAGCTGAGCGGTTCTCTCTGACAACTAGCCAATCTAGGATGTGACCCCGCTTCTATGTCGGGAAACCTACTAGCTTAGTCATTCCGTGTGTGCCTAGAGCTGACTTTAGGGTCTTCGCGTAGCTGTCAGTGGTGGAATCAAAATCACAGTTTGTGTAACCGATTATGATGACGTTGTTGTTGGGGGTGGCGTGCATGTCAAGGAACTGTTGAAACTCTGAAGTAAACTAACAGATCTTCAACTTATTTTGCTTATTGGGAGGTGGCCTGAAAATGCACAGAAAAGTCATCGCTTGTTAACCCTAATTAAGTGGCATCTTGCACATTTCAAATGAAATCGTCAGATTTTGAGAAGGCCACACTATTTTTGCGGAGGCTCCTGTAAAGGACAGCAATACCCCCACCACTGCGTAACTGCTGTGGACAAGAGTGAATGACGTAGTTGGAGGTGTATTTCTTGCAGCTTGACCTCATCTCCGACATATTTAAACTTCGTCTCAGTAATGAACAAAAGATCGACGTTGCTCTCCAAAACGAGATCAGACACCTCAAATGTCTTATTCTTCCATGACTGGGAGTTGAAATACAGCACTCCGAAATGCCGTGTTTGCGACTTCACAACAGGCTAGCAGTCAACAGCAACTGGATTTGATCTCTTCACGCCCCGTCGAGGTGGTGTGAAATCATGAGCCGCTGCCCGTGCCCTTAGGATTGACACGTCATGAATGGTCGTGATGGATGACACGTTACCTGGCTGATTTCTGTCGTTTCTGAAAGCTTCTTTGAAAGGGTTTACATGTCTATGTCCACAAGCAATAATCTTGACGTGGCTGTCACATTGGTGGTATTTCAGTGGACGCTGTTTCCGACGACCTGCTCGATAAAGACGCTTCTTATTTCGTCGTGGGCAAATTTTCCATCCACCACTACGGTAAGTACGCTTACGGGGCAGGCCTCGACCAATAGAGAATTCTTTAAGTCGATACACGAGGCAAGCAGTCAAGAGAATACGTTGTAAATTCATCGAGAATAGTCGATCGCGTGAATAAATTAGCACAGCTCGATTACATCAATGGGGCCGGGGAGTGTCGCCAACCGTATCATTAGCCTGCATGACGGATGATTGTGAAGTCAGCTAAGATGGCCGACTCCGTAAGGAAAACAGAAAACTCACATAAAACTACTAAATGATCAAGAGCTCGATCCTATAAATGGCTGTAAAGCGTAGTCTCGACCTCAAGACAACTCTGACTTCCCCGAAATTGAATTTATGTAATTATGGTATTAATTTCACAACAACTTCCTGTTTTTGCGCAATTTCGGTAAACAAAACTTTGAAAGGCAGCCAACTTGTCGAAGAATATGAAAGCTATTTAGCACAATTGGGAATATTGGTGTGTTTTTTACCACTTGCTGGACTCACGTAGTGTATATCATCTCTCTATGGTTATTTGTGGATTTCTATATCGGGGAATACAATGTGTACATAAATTTAATAGGGAATATATATCTATCTATATATATATATATATATATATATATATATATATATATATATATACATACACATATTATATATACACAATCTCTATATTTATTTGTGTATATATATATCTCGAAAAACAATATGTATATATATAAAATAGAGAATATATATATATATATATATATATATATATATATATATATATATATATATATATATATACATACACATATTATATATACACACTGCCATTTAGTTGTATTTAAAAAGCCGAATGGTTTGCTTACATTTACTAAGCCAGCAACTCATTACTGTCAGGGACATCGTTGGAATTGTTTGAACAGAGGGCGTGGATCATCAAAAGAAGGATTTTTTTTTCTTTTTAGTAATGCGCAGTATTTTCAGCTAACAACAGAGTTTTAGTTATTTCGATGACAAAAAAGAGGGGGGTGGGGGGGGGGGGCGATACTTTTGCGACGTCTTGAGCGACATTAACCCTAGTTAGGAATTAATAATTGTTTAGTTTTTTCCACAAAGAAAGTCATGAGATATTAGCTGCGTATAGCGAGATAAGATTGACTTGACCGAGAGGAAGTATGAAAACAGTGACCCTTTTGTACTCATCCTACATTTAACAACTCTTATTTGAACTTTTTTCTTTAAAAAATATAAATAGTAATAGTAATATATGTGTTGGAAACTTTCAAAGACGTAGTGAAATAAATATAAGTAACATGCAAGTTAGTAAGGAAATAAAAATTTTAATATGCAAATGTATTATCTGAACATAACATTTTTAAATTTCAAAAGCTGTTGTAGGAATTAAATAAAAAATTTATTGGAAATAATTTATTTTGATTTTTACGGTCAAGTAAGTTTGAGACTAACATAATTTATTTTTAAATCCTGTATATTAATTTTGCTTTTGTGAGTTTATGGCGAAATCTTTGGTCGGCCAAATTGACCCTCTTGCCGTCAAACTGTCAAGCTGAAACTTTGAATATGTGATCTTCGTCGAGGACAGCACACTCTATATGAAAATTTCAGTTCATCTAATGTTGAGATGTTTTCGAAAGATTAATTTTGTTTTTAGTCCTTCACAATTTTAATGCGTTGTTTCAAGCTATCGATTTTAAAACTATCTTTAAACATGAACACTGCCTTGTATTTACCTGTTTTGTTAATGGACCCATTAAAGTATTTCAAATTTTTTTTTTTAAAGTTAAAATACATGCCGTGTTTCAGAAGGAAACAATTTCCTAAATTATTTAAGTAAATGTCGAAGAGAATGGAAAATCGTTATTGGTGATGAACTGATGGATGTGAAGTTCAAAGTAAATTTTGTGTGTGAATGGTTTCGTCAAACAGAATTAGCCGTGGCAGTAGGTTTCGAAAGTGCATAACGCTGGGCGGGCTCATTCGTATGTGCTGTCAGGAACCTGGAGTTAGTTCGTTACCTCCGACAGGTCTTCTGATTTATTGACCGATGGCATTTTCAGTACAGTGTGATATCGTTGAGCTACCAAAGAATCTGACCAGCTGTTTGGATTTCGATTTAATGTGTTTGAAACACCGAGCCGGAGTGTGCTTGATAATACCGGTACGTCTGAATGATTAACCATGTTATATTCTTTGCAGAGTTTAAAATGATTAGTCTAACAGAAATTAATAACAGTTTGATTCCTAACACTGTTTTGGAGATGAATAAAAAAAAATAATTTATTTTATTTACTGAATTTACCTTAGAGAAACATCTTGTTATAAATAGGTATTTATTTCAATCAATCAATCAATCAATCAATCAATCAATCAATCAATCAATCAATCAATTAATCAATCATATCTATCATATCTATCTATCATATCATCATATCCATCTATTCATCTATCCATCTATCCATCTATCCATCTATCCATCCATCCATCCATCCATCCATCCATCCATCCATCCATCCATCCATCCATCCATCCATCCATCCATCCATCCATCCATCCATCCATCCATCCATC